GACTCCTCCCCCAACCTTTTTCCTCACTCCTGGGAACCCATTTTTCTCTCCATATATTTAAGTCTCTGAAAATCTAGGTAAATAAGCCTAGTTGCTCTACCAGCTACCCTGCTTGGGCTAGTTCCATTCTGGCAGGAAAGGCTGACAGATCTAGGGAACTAAAGATGAGCACTGAGACAACAACAGGCGTAATCATTCAGAGAAGCCAGTGAGCCAAGACTGTGGGGGCCAAGCTTGTGCTGCATTGCTGAAGGGAACCAGCTGAGGAGGATGACAGACAGGGCAGAGATACCAGAGACCTCTGTGGCATGCGAGGATAGTTACATGCCATGTTGGCTGCTCTGTTCGCTATTGTTTCATAACATGGTGTATGGTATCCAGTCAGTTCAGAGAATGAAAGCAAGCTCTTGCTAACCACGTTCTAATCTAAAATAGATCAAATAGGGTAGAAGCCCAGAAAATGGGTGTAAGCTCTGATGTCTGCTTCTACCTTCTTCCTTTCTCTTTTTTCTGCCATACTTGTCTCCCTCCTCTCCACCCCCATCAGAAAGTTGTCATAGGAAGGAGTCCCAGAAGCAATTTATTTTAAAAAGAAAGGGAAATGTAACAAAAAAAGAAAAAATGCATAGACAGACCTGCATTTGAATCCTAACTTTGCTACCCCTAACTGAGGCAAGCCTCTGCTTTCTCATATAAAATAAGAATGAGACTGAATGAGACCTTGGGCACATGCATGCATATGGGTAAGAGAGAGAGAGAGAACCTGGCCCACTAGAGACACTGAATAAACAGTAATTTTTATCCTATTTTTATTGATAAGTTGGCCTAGGAGATTAAAAGCTTCCTGATGCACCTTGTTGCGGGGTTGGGGGCCGGTGGGGGGGGGCGGATGAGCAAAGAGAAGAAAGGAATGAAAGGTTTGGACTCTGTGTAAATAAAAGGTGACAATAGTGAGACAGTGCTGTGATTCTGAGGAGGGAAATGAGAAAGATAAGTCCGAGAGGGAAAAGACCCCCAAGGCATTCCCAAATTACAGCTGAGAGGTGGAAGCTCAAAGACAAGAGCTAAGGGCATTTAATAAAGAAGAATGAAGGAAAATGGGGGATATCCAATAGTGGTGCTAGTTCCAGCCACTCTCAAAATGAAATGTGACAGCCTTCCACATGCATTTACCAATCCAAGAGTAGGAGCAGTTCATCAGACCCTATTTACGTTATTTCCCTCTGCTGCTTTTGCTTGATGTTTATATGAATTGGCTCCAAAATCCATATAAAAGGGCACCGTCCCAGATTTTTTCCCACAGAACCCATAGAAAAATAAGCATATGCATACATTTTTATCTGGTCTGTAAATGTGGGGGCTCCTTCAGCTTCTAAGGAATCTACATTTGCCTGTACATGTCTACATTTTCTCATTTTTTCTATGCCCATCTTTGGGTTTCATTCCATCAGGGAAGTCTGGGAAAGTGAATTTTTTTTATAACAATGCAGTGAGTGGCAGTTAAATGATTAAAAACCGATTTCCAGAAACGCTTGTTGAATGTTGATGACAAAGTAATGTCCTTTTATTTACAGATAGGTTAATACTGATTAAATGCAGGGGTGGGGTGAGGGGAACATATATAAACTAAACATATAAATATATAGAGAGAATTTATAGGAGGGACACATACGGAATAAGTATTTATATATCATCCCTGCAGGGTTTGGTGAAAGATTTTCAGAGGATATTGAAAAAAAGAACTAGAAGTTACAAATGAGCTTACATTCAGATCTATAACCCATAGATGGAAACTGACTCACATACAAACATACTTGTGGTTAACATTTTCCATATTTCGGCAAGGCCAGTGGGCTTATTCTCAGCTAGATAAGTTTATATGTTAAAAAAAAAAAAAAGATGGTTTACATATTGGGAGAGTAGAGTACCATCCTACTTTGTAGTGTGGCTAACAATGCTGGGAAACTAGGATCCGCTGTTACAGAAGGACGCTCTGTATAACACAGCAATCAAGTGGAACAAAATGCCAGAGGAACTTACCTGGGGACTTCTACGTCTATTAGACCTCCTGGCAGAGGTCAGGGCTCTTTTGGAAGACTTCTTCTGTGTCACCTCTGACAGGTCTCTAAGATTACTCCTTATCGTGAATGCTATAGGACAGGTCCTGCTGGGGAGGCCCTCAAGCACTGTAGGTGGTCCATTAACTCTTTCAACTATTAACTTCTTCCATTTCCTGCAAAGAGTAATGGACTGTTTTGCCCCATTGTGGCTCCACAGACTCTCACCTTTCCCAAGTGCCTCATTTATTCATCAGAAAGCATAGTGCTTTGGCAAAGTCTGGCTTTCACATTCTCTGTGTTGTTTGGTACATGCCATGGTTTTGGGGGGATGGCTTATGTGGTATGGAGCCCTGGTGGCGTAGTGGTTAAGAGGTCAGCTGCTAACCAAAAGATCTGCAGTTCGAATCTACCAGCCACTCCTTGGAAATCCTGTGAGGCAGTTCTGCTCTGCCCTATAGGGTCGCTATGAGTCAGAATCGACTCGATGGCAGTGGGTTTTTATGTGGTATGGTGCACATAGCACTCTAAGCTTATCTGGGCTCTAGGTCCCTATCTACCACCTTGTCCTGAGCACAGTGCTGGGCATAAGGGTGGTGCCATCAAGTCCATTCCCTTCTCTCCATTCTTACTGCCTTAGTTCAAGCCATCATCACCTTTCATCTGGAATAATGCGATGATCTTCTAACTAACCTCTTTGCTTCTACCCTGAACCCCAATCTCGCCTCAACAGCTGGACCAACAATTTTAAAGTACAAATTTGATCATATCACTTCCAGCTTAAGATATTTCCATGACTTTTCTTCAGAAATCAAACCCAAACTTCTTAATGTGCCACGTAAGGCCTCTAGGACCTGGCCTTCACCTTTAGTCTCCAGCCTCTTCTCTCAGAACTTACTGCTGGAACCCTATCCTTGGGCTGAAATGAGCTATTTGCACTTCTGAAAACATGCTGTATTATTTCCCACCTCCTTGTCTTTGCCCCTGCTGGTATAATTCTCATGCCTAGAATACCCTTCTTATCACCTCTGCCTAACTAGCAATTCACATAGCATACAATTCACTCATTTAAAGTGTACAACTCAGTGGGTTTTAGTAGAGTCTCAAAGTCGCACAACAATCACCACTACTTAATTCTAGAACATTTTGTCCCCCCCTAAAAGGATTCTCCATTAGCAGACACTCTCCATTTTACCCCAACCCCGCCCCTGGCAACCACTGGTCTACATTCTGTCTCTGTAGATTTGTCTATTTCCGATTCATCTTTCAAGATTTTTTTCAGGTGTTGCCTCCCCTTGTTCTCCTCCCCAGTCCCCTGGTTTCAAAGCCTTTCTTCTGGGCTCCTGTAACACCCTATGCAAGACTCTGTCACAGTACTTAACTCACTGTAATCTTGCCTGTCTCTCCTCATGCAGTGATTTACTCATCTCAGAAACCCAGGGTTTAATACCTTTCCTGGCTCATAGAAAGTGCTCCTTAACTACTGGCTAAATGAGTGAATAACTTCCAGGAAGCCCTAACTGGGAGGAAGCCCCTTAATGACTGGGTTCGAGGCCAGTGAATGCACAGGCAGAGCCAGACAGTGGATGCCTAAGTACCCACTTCTCAGCTCACTTGAAAAAGCTCAGCAGCCGCTATAGTCCTCGTGTCTCTTCCCTCTCTGCAGTTGATGTGGAGGTTCCAGAATCTAGGGGACTATTACCCAAGTGGTGCAGAGGAAGCACATCCTCAGGAAATATTCATTATGCAGCAGTTTACAATTCACCTATGAGACTAACAGCAACACTCTTAGGCCATCTTTCTGCCTTACTTTTAAATTTTTCTATTTATTTCTTCTCCTCTTTTCTCCCTCCTACCCCCCCCCACCCCCACATTTCAGATTATCTCTTTTTAATAATGCTAGGGTAGGTCCTTAGATTTTTTTAAAAATTACTTTAGCATGAGATGTCTGAACATGAATCCACTTTGAAAGCTGCTTAATTGTTCCATTTCAATGCACCACATTTCTTTTTTCATGATTGGATATTAAAAAGCTCATTAGCCAGGAAATATAAAACAATTTGAAATCACAATGGGGTATGAAGATGTTAAATACTAAATCATCTCCATAAACAATTTCCTGTGTCATCTCATTCTCAGCATTTTATTAACCAGAGACAAATGGTGAGCACGCTGACTCTCGCCACCATAGCCTGCCCTTCTCTGTCTCTATTGAACTTCCTCATTCTTTTCTTCTTCTAACCTCTTAACCTATTTTCCTTGTCTCCCCTCTTCTCCATTCCTAATCTCTTTCTCTTTTTTGACTCTCACCTCTGCCCATTGTGCTATTTGAAACTTTGTGTTTCACTTTCTGTTTTTCTTTGACTTTCTCTTTCATTCTTTTTCCTGATGAGCCCCTTTTCTCTTTCCTTACTTCTATTCTTTTCACCCAAGAGGAGGGAGGCAGGGGAAGAGAGAGTGGGGAAAAGATAAGCAGGAAAATAGAGAGGGGGGAGAGATTAACAGTGGGATGTCCCTCACCTGCCAAATCGCCCTAGTCCAAATGACCCACATTTCTTCTCCTTTAAGGTAAGGTACATAGTGAATTTGTGCCTCACTTTTCTCACCTATAAAATTGAAGCAAAATAAAATTTTCCCAGACTACCTTCCAGAGATGTTGTTAGGGCCAAGCCTAGGAATGAATATGAAAAAAAGTTTCGAAAAGAAACAGACCCCTGCTATTGGAAAGCACTCAGAGTAAGGGTGGGAGGATTACCCCCTTGTACTGTGTCAGGATCTAATTAACTGAGGATTGCAATCCTTACCCCTCTGAGGCATGCGTTTTTCGCCTTCTACTCATCAAGTCACCGAGGTTATCTGTGTACTTTGTTTGAGGGGAAGGCTTACTTGTTCCTTTGTATGCTGTTGATTTTTATCCCTTCCTTTTCTCTTGCCTTGGACTAGCAAACGGAACCTCCAGCAGCCAGCTCTCTACCCCCAAGTCTAAGCAGTCTCCCATCTCTACGCCCACCAGTCCTGGCAGCCTCCGGAAGCACAAGGTATTATGTCTCTTATACCTTACTAAACCCCTTTGCACTCAGGGCTCCAATCTCCTTCTTGGAAGTTTCTTCAATGGCTGGGTGAGGGTTTTCTCTTCCATTCTACTTTAACAGGACATCAAGGCCAGAATCCCCCTTCCTTTGGCTCCATTAGCTTGAAGCTCTGGGAATACCAGCAGAGACTAAGTCACTTTTATTTACTTTTCTGATCTCCAGTGTATTTACCTCCAGTTATATTCAGACAAAAGAAAGAGCTTCCAAGTCCCAAATACCCATTTTGAGCCAAGGCGTAACCAAGCAGTGGTAGCTTCGGGCTTGTATTTAGAACTTACCTCTCAATTCAGAGACATAGCCAAGAAGGTGGTAAGGACAATTTATGTCCCCAGGCACGTAATGGAAGTGACATAAAGATACCAGTTGCTGTTGAGTTGATTCCAACTCATGAAGATCCCATGTAGAACTGTGCTTCATAGAGTGTTCAATGGCTAAGTTTTCAGAAGTAGATTTCCAGGCCTTTTTTCTGAGACACCTCTGGGTGGACTTGAACCGTCAACCTTTCAATTAGCAACCCAGAGCATTAACTATTTGCACCACCCCAGGACTCCAACGTTAAGATAGCAGACAAAGAAATTTAGAACTGTGTTACTCTCTTTACATTTGCCAAATATTAATGAATGAACAGACCCTAGTTTCACTATGTATTCTTCATTACCAGGCAGATTCTGGTCCAATGTAGGAAGAAAAGACACATGCCCATTGCACTGGCCTTGGACACCATTTGCACTCGTTAAGCCATCCCAAATAAATACGCAATTAAAATAAAGCAATGTATAAATTCTCTGGCCCCACTTTCCAAATAGATTCCCACCAAGAAACCTCTCCTGTACAGAAAATCTAGAGTGGTCACTGCCTTGAGCCTCTAATCCTGGAAGAGATGTAGATGTGTTTTCTGCTCTGATAACCATACTCTGGAGCACCTTCCTCTAGGATTCTTTTGTCTTCGTCCTGCTCACAAGACTTTGTGTGAGATGGAAAAAGTTAAAAGCCACCAACATGGCCAACTACAACATAGATCATAGATGATCAGAGCTGGAAGAGATCTTAGATGGAGAGGAATGAGTTTCATTTGATTCTCTCGATAATCTTGTGAGGCTGACTTTTTTTAATATATACTTATTTATTTTGTTGTTGTTGTTGAGAATATACACAACGAAACATACACCAATTCAACAGTTTCTACATGTATCATTTAGTGTCACTGATCACATTCTTCAAGTTGCATAAACATTCTCACCTTCTTTTTCTGAGTTATTCCTCCCCCATTAACATAAATTCACTGTCTCCTAAGGTTCCTATCTAATCTTCAAGTTGCTATTGTCAGTTTGATCCCATATAGATAGTTCTTAAAAGAGCACAACGTTCAAGGCAGATATTCTCTACTAGTTAAGCTAAATTATTGTTTGGTTTTAAGAAGACTCTAAGGGACAGTTTTGATTTGATGTTTAAAGGATATCTCAGGGCAATAGTCTCAGGGGTTCATCCAACCTTCATGGCTCCAGGATGTCTGGAGTCCATGAGAATTTGAAGTTCTGTTCTGCATTTTCCCCATTTTGGTCAGGGTTCTTCTATGGAATCTTTGATCAAAATGTTCAGTAATAGTAGCTGGGTACCATCCAGTTCTTCTGGTCTCATGGCAAAGGAGGCAATTGTTCATGGGGGCAATTAGTCACACATTCCATATCCTCCTCCTATTCCTGATTCTCCTTCTTCCTCTGTTATTCCAGGCGAATAGAGACCAATTGCGCCTTGGATGGCCACTTGCAAGCTTTCAAGACCTCAGGCACTATGCATCAAATTAGGAAGCAGAAAACAAGCATTAAACATGTTATTAGGCCAATTAACTAGAATGTCCCATAAAACCATGACCCTAAGCCTCCAAACCAAGAAACCAAATCCCGTGAGATTTTTGGTTGTACATAAGCAGCCGCAGCAGCTACTCTTTTTTTTTTTTTGTCATTGTTGTAACTATATCTATCACAACTTTTGCCAATTCAACTTTTTACAAGTGTACAGCTTATTGATAGCAATTACAATAATCGGCTGTGCAACCTTACCATTAATCAATGTGATATCTCTATCAACATTAAACCCCCACCCCTTTCCATCTTCTTCCTGCTGCTGGTAACCACTAATAAACTTTGTTCTCTATACATTTGCCTTTTTATATAAGTTCTTTTGTAATTGACGTATTTCACTCAGCATAGTATCTTGTAGCTCCAGCCATATTGTAGCATATATCAAGACTTCATTTCTCCTACTGGCTGAGTAGTATTCTATGGTATGTATGTACCACATTTTGTTTATCCATTTTTCTGTTGTTGGGCACTTAGATTGTTCCACCTTTTGGCTATTGTGAATAGTGCTGCAATGAACAAATCTCTGTTTGAGGCTCTGTTTTCAAGTCTTTTCGGTATATACCTAGGAGTGGAATTGCTGGGTCATATGGTAGTTCTGTTTTTAATTTTTTGAGGCAGTGCCACAATTTTCGACAATGGCTGTACCATTTTGCATTCCCACCAGCAATAAGTATGGGTTCTAATTTCCCCACATTCTCACCAACATTTTTTATTTTTTGTTTTGTTTTTTAATCTTAGCCATGCTACCCATTGCCATCGAGTCGATTGTGACTCATAGTGACCCTATAGAGCAGAATAGAACTGCCCCCATAGGGTTTCCAAGGGGTGGCTAGGGGATTTGAACTGCTCACCTTTTGGTTAGCAGCTGAGCTCTTTAACCAGTACACGACCAACGCTCCTTAGCTAGTAGGAGTGAAATGGTATTCTCATTGTGGTTTTGATTTGGATCTCTCTGACGGCTAATGACGTTGAGCATCTTTTCATGTGTTTGGTGGCCATTTGAATGTCCTCTTTGGTGAAATGTCTATCTTCAAGTGCTTTGCCCATTTTATGATCGAGTTATTTATCTTTTTGTTATTAAGTTGTCGAAGTTTTATATATATTTTGGTTATTAGATTTATGTCAGATATATGGTTTCCAAAGCTGTTCTCCCAGTTGGTAGCTTTTCTTTTTACTTTTTTGTTAAGTCTTCTGATGAACAAAAGTTTTCACTTTTTATGAGATCCGATTTATTTATTTTGTCTTTTGCTGTTTGTGCTTTTGTTACTATGTTATTGTTGAAAGCTAGGCCTGATAACATTGCCCCTGCTTTTTCTTCTAAGAATTTTATGGTTTTAGTTTGCACATTTAGGTCCTTAATCCATTTTGAATTTGTTTTTTTGTATGGTGTCAGACATGGGTCCTGTTTCATTTTTCTGCATGTGGAAATCCAATTTTCCCAGCACCATTTATTAAAGAGACTCTTCTTTTTCCATTGAATAGACTTAGCACCCTTGTCAAAAACCAGTTGACCATAGATGTGTGGGTTTATTTATGGACTCTCAATTGTATTCCATTGGTCTGTGTATCTATTGTTATACCTGTACCAGGCTGTTTTGATTACTGTAACTGTATGATATGTTTTAAAATCAGGAAGTGTGAGTCCTCCTACTTTGTTCTTAAATCTTTCAACATTACTTTAGCTATTCAGGGTCTCTTGCCATTCCATATAAAGTTGAGGAATAGTTTTTCTATTTCTGTAAAGAAGGCTGCTGGAATTTTGATCGGGATTGTGTTGAACCTATTGATTGCTTTGGATAGTATTGATATCTTCACAATATTAAATCTTCCAATCCATGAACATGGAACATCTTTCCATTTATTTAAGTTGTGAGGTTGACATTTTAAAGATGAGGAAATTAAGGCCCAGAAAGGTTAAGTTACTTACTAGGGTAATATAACTAGGTAGTAGCAGGTCACTGTCAGTGGTGTGCTGGAGCCAGTTCACACTAGCTTGTGAGAGCTGATTGTGCATATCTACAGCATGAACTCATCCATGGTGGGAGTATTTACACCACAGAAGTTGGCAAACACTACGATCAAGGTTTTGTTTATCACAGCCCCCCCCCCCGAAATTGATTGTTAAACATTTAACAGAACACCACTATTTCACACTCATTTCCATTTCCTCTTCTCTACAACCAACTTTGAATGTCCTTGTTAATCTGGCCACTGCCTGCCCCATAATTCCTAATGCCTGTTCTATTGCCTTTAATGACCCCCTTTGACTCCTGGCATAAGCAAAACCTTTTGTTTATTCTGCTGGGCTGTTTGGCCTCCCCAAAAGGGGATCTGCTAAACTGTCTGTGTAACCAATGCTACCCAGAGATTTTAAGATGAATGAAAATTGCTGTTATATTCAGCTTTCAAATATTCTTTTCAGTAGCAAAGCTTGTATATTCCAAGATGGAGATAGCCTACCTCTGTTGTTCCACTGTCCACACAGAACCTCCTATGCTACACAGCTTCTTACTGTATTTTTGCCTTGTACCTTTCTGCTCCTACCTTCCTCATGGGAAGCGTTACCTACCCCGGCACCTTCCATTAGTGCCCTCCTCAAAGTGCTGGGGACAGCTTGGATATTTGGCCTGTGCACTTGAGTTATTCAGTCTTCAACTGCTGTTTCAGGTTCATTTAGGACACAATGAGCTATAGGCTGGGAACTGATCATCCATAAGCTCATTAGAATAAATGCTGGCATTGTTAAACTGTTTCTCCTGGTTAAACTGTTTCTCCTGATTAGGCTTTTTGTGGGTTTTTTTTTTTTTTTTTTTTGACACAATTCTAAAAACAAATTTAACCATTGAAAGAATAGAGCAAGCTAACAGCTGGCAGCATTATCAGATTTTCACTGTTTTGTTTTTACTGTTGCATTTTCAGTGTATCATTTTATTTTTGTAAATTACTCTTTTTTAAGACAGTTAAGTAAACAAGCATTAAGTAATAAATTATATTATTTTCTAGAGAAAACTTTTAAATGAAACAAATATTTGCATTTTGGCACAATTCTCACTATTGTTTAGACTTTTTACTTTGATATAATTT